ACATGGGTCTGTTTCTTTCTCCTTTGCCTCACCACAGCTGTCACCTGGCTCCACAGCTCATTTTGCAGCTTAGCTACTTTCTTCTGCTTTGGTGACAGCCATCAATTCACTCACAATCATCACCATCAAGTGGAAAACACTGTCTGGCCAAGTCAGTAAACCACACACATGGGGCTAATAGCAATGAATCAGAGAGCAACAGGTCCTTCAGCCCTAGAAGGAAGGGATAAAACTCTGAGTAGCAAGCAAAGATCAAAGAGGAGCCAGCATCCCTCAGGAATTTGCAAAAGGCAAACAGAAAGTAAGCAGAGGGGCAGATCAGGTGGAACAACATGGTGGAAGGAGGAGTTACCAGGTTTGTTTAGGAAGAACTGGGGATGGCTACCAGGAAATATTTCTGAACTGCAAGCGGCATTAGGAAGTGGGACAGCGTTCTGCAGGATCTGCTTGCAAGAGCTAAAGCCAGGTGGGACAGAGCTCTAGGAAACATCCTCCAGCAAGTACTTCTGGTGGGGCAGGGTGGAGGGAAGAGACTGGACAGATGGTCCTTTCCTCCTTGAACTTCAGAGAAGCCACAGGTGCAGAGGGGAGGCACGCAGAGGTGTCGGCACACAAGCCTTTCCAATCTTCACCTGCCGTGACATAAATCGTTTGAGCATGACTAGTGACTGCCGCAGAGTTTGCATCATCGAGCTGTTGGCACAGACAGCTAGCTTCCTTGCACGTAAGACAGTGTGGCAAAGGCCCTCTGATCTGGATGCAGGGGCTAGGGAGAGGGATGGAGGTGGACTAGGGCTGGCCCTGGACCATGGGAAAAGGACATGTGGGCAGGGAACAGCGTTTTACTGCTTGGGGCTGGGCACAGCACCCCAGCCCTGCCAGGGAGAGAGGCTGCCAGCTACCCCATTGTCACTCAGGTCCCCGTGCACTCTCTCCACCCTTCCCACCCATGCTCTGATGTGCCTTTAACAGCCTGGGCTTCCTACCAGGATGTTTTCATTTTGGTTGCCTCCCTCTTAGAGTTTCAAGGTACTGCACAAAATTAGCAAGTTAGGAAGTTGGGAAATGGAGGCCTTAAAACCTGTTGCAGGAATGCCACTCTTGGCATCACATCAAAGTGTCCCTCCACTCTGCATTTGTATGGGTGGATTGTGCCATTCCTATATGAATGCTGTGGGCCAGTGAGTGAAGGTGAGTGGGGACAATGGGTTAACCACTGCCACAGGAGGTTTCGGTGGCTCTGCTGTGTCCATTCCCCTCTGCCCCACATTGTTCTGCCCATTTGGGAATGGAGTGGTTACTCACAGGCTGGAAAACAGGCTTCTTCACTTTGCTCATCTGTAATGAACAGTCAGAAACTCCTCAGTTCCTCTTGGAGGGGTCATGGCTAGGGGATGGCCAGCTGTTGCCAAACTTTCCTCTTCCAGCAGCTCCTTCTGCACAGAGACCATGGCATCTTGTAACTGGTGAGACCATGCTCTCGCATCATGACTGGCACCTTCAGGGACCCTCTTCCTGGTGTTCTCCTCTGGGACCTGGGTCACCTCAGTGTTGCCTCCATAGAAACCTCTGGTGCTGTTGGTGAAGCCTTTGCCCACATTAACCACGTGGACTTTCTTTTCAACTCTCTTCTTCTTCTTCTTCCTGGTCTTGTTCTGGAAGAAGAGGCAGGTGAACACCTGCTTGAAACGCTTGCGGAAATGCTTGGAGATGAGGGCATAGATGATGGGGTTGAGACAGGAGTTGGCGTATGAAAGGCAGTGGGAAGCCAGGCGGCAAGCATAAGTGGCTCGGTTGAAGGGGAAGTGGCCAAACCAGAAGCACAGGATGACCAGGTGGTGGGGCAGCCAGCAGAGGCAGAACAGGATGGCCACAGCCACAATCATCTTGGTGACCTTACGCTTGGCCTTCCGGGACTCTGAGATCCTTTCTATGGGGTCTACGGAGGTCCACAGGAACTTGATGGTCCTGGCGTATGCCAGGCTCACCACGGTCACAGGCAGAAGGTATCCAAAGACAAACGTGACGATGTCCAGAATCTTTCGGCGCTGGTCCTCCCAGATGGGGATGCAGATGGGCACCCTGTGGTAATGGACAATCTGGTAGTAACTGAGGTAAGGCCCCGCGAAGAGCAGTGACAGGGACCAGATCGCTACAATGGCCACTCCTGCGTTTCGGGAGGTACGGACATCCCGGGACTCCAGCGGATAGCGAATGGCCAGGTACCTGGCGAGGAGGGGATGGAGAAGGAGAGACCAAATACAACATACGTGAGGTGATACCTTGTCGCCCCATGGAGCTGCCATCTGTGCACCCCTTCCCACGCAGCCACCCATCTCTTCCCCTCCCCACCTCTTGGTAGGGAGGGTTACGGTGAATTCACATAGAGATCAGGGTCATCCCAACAGTGGGTCTGGGATCTCTGTTGCCCACTCTGCTGTGCTAGCTTGGGAAAGGCAAGCAGCATACCTCTTGAACCAGGGAAGAGAAGGACAGGAGCAGGTCCCAGAGGGCTCCCTCTTTCTCCTCTAGTGCACTGTTGCCCTGGGGTTTTGCCGTTCTTGGTTTTGCATGGTGGACACCAAACCTCAGCATGTGCCTGTACTCCTCCTTCCTAAGTGAGGGCTGGGTAACCAAGCCAAGAGCTTGGCTTGGTGCTGGAAGAGGGCATGGGGAGATAGGGAGGCTGGCTCTGCCTCTGGGGACACCCTACCTGCTCCTTACAGGACACTCAACAGACTGGCCTTTCTCCCACCCCTTAGTTCAAGGGTGGCAAACATGTCCCTGAGCTGAGGGACTCAAAGTGGAGGGGACACTTGCCTGTCAACGGAGACGGCGGCCAGGGTGAAGCTGCTGGCGTACATGGTGAGGTAGATCAGGAAATGCACAGCCTTGCAGGCAAAGGCCCCAAAGAGCCACCCATCCAGGGTGTAAATGGTGGCCTGGAAGGGGACGCAGCAGACGATGAAGCACAGGTCAGCCATGGCCAGGTTAAGGATGAAAAGGTTGGTGGTATTGTACTTGACTTGGCCGTTCCGCAGCAGCACGGCTAGCACCAGCCCATTCCCCACAGTGCCCAGGAGGAAGATGAGGGAGAAGATGATGGGCACAATAATCCCTGCAGCTCGCAACTCTGGGCTGTCAGAGGAGGCGTTCCAGCCTCCTGGCATCTCCCCATCTGACTACAGGGACCTGCGAGGGGAAAAAGGGAGACACAGCACCTGTGCATGGCTGTAGGCAAGCAGGTGCTGCTCGGTGTTGACCACAGTGGCCACCAGAGCTCTGGCCCTAGGGTGCCTGATCCCAGCCTTTGTCTGATGCCCATGTTTCTCCCAGAGATGCCAGTCCCAACCAGCTGGTTAAATGATGACATCAAGATCCTCATGACGTCACTGGCAAGAATGCTGTTGGGATCAGTCAGCCCACATCTGCCTGGCTTGAGCGGAGCCGAAGCCCCTTTCTCCTGCCTGCATTCATGTCCCCACCACGGCACCTCCTGTGCTCCCAGCCCCCCGAAGGACACCCTGCCCTGCCGCCTGGCCTCCCCTACATTCCTCCTACAATCCCCAAGCCGCTAAACCTCTTGGGATTGCTTGCTTTGGCAAGTCTAAATCCTGGCTGGTGTTCAACAGGGCTCAATGAGGGACACAAGGCCACAGGAACCGCAAGAGGTTCTGGCACCCTCACCCCAGGGCTGTGCCACCTCTGGCAGCAGGGACCTGTTGCCTGGATGACACCCACAGCAGCAGCACCCCGCCGCGCTCCTGCCTCAAGGGAGCTCCTTCAGCTGGGACCACCTCCACCCTAGAGCTGGCTGCCCCTTGCTCCCTTTGCAGTAGTTGTGCTCCACAGAGGAGGGGTGACTCAGGGCAGCTCTTCCTGATGCTGAGAGGTGGTCATGGGCTGGACAGTGGCGGTTAGGAGAGGAACAGGGGAGACCTTGCAGCTGCCTGAAACACAACATGATGATCATTGTGAAGGAGCGTAATTATTACTGCAGCTCAAGGTATTGTGGTTTGCTGCAAAACTTCTTCCAGCCCCGAGTAACACTGTGCTCAGGCGGGGAGTGCCAACAGCCTATCTCCTAATGAGCCTTCCCCATGTTGTGCTATCATTAGAACAAATTGTCCTTCGCTGAGCAGCAACCAAGAGGGAAAGACACTGTTATCTAGCAACTGTTGACATGCAATTAACTCTTTTTTTGGGTCGTGCAAGCTCCTTCGCCCCATGCTCCCCTATCCCTCAGCTCATGCCACTTCTCCTTCCCAGCAGCCTCTCTGTATTGCATCGAAAGGTCGTCCCTGCCTCTCTGGCTCTGCAGTCCCCTCTGTCCTACTGGTAACTACCTGGCTCCTCCATCCCGGCCCCGTGGGATCTCCTCACTCGAGCAGAGTACCCTGGTCACACTCTGGGCACGCACATGTTGCCCCGCTGCCTACGTGACATCTCTGGGCACTGTCGTATCCCTGCTCAGCTGCTCCTTGCTTGGGAAGCCAGCACTCACCTCTGTGAGGAAGGGCCTGCAGCTTCACCGCTTGCTCGGGGGAGACCTCTGGTCCAGGCCAGGCAGCAGTGGTGAGGAGGATGCAAGCCACCGAAGACTTTGTCTGGGCAGCGCCGTCACCCCTGCCCAGTGCTCCACTGCCTCCCCCTGCCCGCCACCAGCTCTGCTCTCTCTTCTCCTGGCTCCCACACCGTCTCTCTCCTTCTGGAGCTCCTCTCCTCTCTCTCTGTCTCCCCCTTTTCCCTCCCTCTGCTCTTGCTGCTGATCCATTGATCTCTGGGTTGTTTTTTTTTCCCCTCTCCCTGAGGTTGGGTTTGGAGTTAACTCCTCTCTGCCCAGTCTTCCAGCAGCCTCAGCCGCTCCCCGCTCCAGCGAGGAGTGGGCAGCAGAGAAAAAGCCCGCTAGTCTCCGGTGGGAGAGGGAGGATGGAGGGGGGCAGGGTCCCACGGACCCTGGCGGGCCTTGTGGGCACCCCTTGATGCTGGGTGTTCAGGACATGTTGCCCAACACCTCCGGGGAACATGAATATCCCAGCAGGGTGAGCCTGGCCTCTGCCCCATCCTTGGGATATGGGTCCAAACCCTCTGGAGCATGAGCAATTAATTGCTATTACTAGCTGTTATTAATTGTTAGTAGGAAGGGACAGAGTAGATCGAGTCTCTCCCACAATGTCTGACCCAGGGAAGGAGGGGAAAGCAGGTTTTGCTTTCCATCCAGCCCAGATCTGCCCTCCACCAGCACTGCTGGGGCACTGCAGTGTGGGGAGGAAGGACAAGCCATCCAGGGAGGCTTGTCATCCAGGTTCAGCTCCTTCACCACTGCCCAGGACAGCACATGTGCTGGCTGATGTGCTGAGAGGCGACAGTGACCCACGCAGCCCTCCTGCCCCACCGCCCAGCCACCGCATCCACCCCCGCAACGGGACCTGTGCCCTGCGGACTTCCAGGCGTGCTGAGGCCGAGCACAGCTTGGTGGTCCTTTCCCAGCAAGACCCGAAAGCCACCAGCTTCCCTTTGCTGGGAAGGTCCTGGATGCCTCTTCCAACGATGGGGTAGGATGCGGAGGAGGAGAAGGAGGCACCAGCCCCTTCACCTTCATGGCAGCCCTGATACCCCCGTCAGCGGTACCCCTCAGCCTGGCGGGAGGGACGATGTGTCCTCTCCTCCCTGCCTGCCCCTCCGGCGGGAGGGAGCAGGGTGCCCCTGCCCACTCGCTATCAGCCGCTGTAACCAGGGAAAAGGGGAAGGCCATGCCTCGGGACACAGCGATAACCTGGGGGATGCGGCGGAGCGAGAACCCACAGCCCGGCACAGCCCGCCGCAGCGCCGCTCGCCATGGAGGGACCACGCTATGGCTGCCTCCTCCTCCTCCTCCTCCTCCTCCTCCTCTGCCTGCTCCCACCGCTGGGTGCCCTGCGCCTACTGCCGCTGCTGGAGGAACCCAGGGAACCACCACCGCTGCCGCCATCTGGCACCGCTGCCCCTGCCGCCCACCTGCTGCGCGCGC